CGGGGCCTTGCTGGGGGCACGTCCCGGGAGCCGCCGTGGGCCTGGGGAGGAGCTAGGAGGAGCAGCGCGGGCTCTGGGGCAGGTGATACGTGGGGGAGCTGCCCTGGGGTGGGCAGATGGAGTGTGGGGACCTGGAGGGCAAGAAACACCACCAGGGCCAGGGTGTTGGGCGGGGGAGTGGGACCTGCGGGTATTTCTGTCCTCTCTGGGGCCCTCCTGAGGCCTTACCCTCCACGAACCCCTCCGCCTGTGCCGGGAAGCATCCAGGTGTGGCACCCGGTAGGCAGGCATCTGCCCATCTTATGCCAGTCTGCCCCAGGCCGACGCCAGAGCTCACCGCCTCTGCAGACAGCGGACTTACCAAAAGCCCCGGTGAGCCCCGCACGGGGCTGCAGCTGCCTACGGAGCGGCACGGCCTGGGAGGCGGTGAGAGCGAAGGGTCGCGGCGGCTGCTCCTCCAGCAGAGCATGCTGGCTGCGCGCTGGCTGCACGGCCTCTGTGTCTCCTCCCCGGTCCTCATCCCCGCACCCAGGGCTTGTGGTCGCCCGTCCCGGAGTGAGCACAGAGCCTGTCACGTCGGAATCCCCTGTGAACCCCTAATCTGAAGGTATTAGGAAGCACTTAGGGTTAAATGAGGTCATGAGGGTGGGGCCCCTTGATAAGATTAGTGCCTTTGTAAGAAGGGAGACCCGCTGTCTCCCTCTTGCAGGCTCTCCCTCCCCTCTCTCCCTTTCCCCCTTTCTTTAAAAAACAGATTTGTTTTTATTTTTAAAAATATGTTCTTATTGATTTTGAGAGAGAGGAAGGGAGAGAGGTAGAGAGATGAAAACCTCAGTGAGAGAAACATCATCATGTTGGGGATCGAGTATGAAGTCCTGGGCCTGTGCCCTGACCAGGAATTAAACTAGTGCATATGGTGCATATGGGTCGACGCTCCCCTGGGGCACGGAGTGACCGTGAAGACCTGGTTTGCTTACGCAGGGATCCCCGAATCAGGCCGAGTCCCACCAGCAATGGTGAGAGCTGTGCACGGAGGGGCTGCTGGGAGGGGAGCTGTGAGCAGAGGAGAAAGCGGCATTTAGACCCATCACCGTCTCTGGGAGGACATGGCCAGGGTGCCGTGGTGCCCGGCCTCCCGCTGCGGGGCTGGAGGGGCCTGTGGTGGCCGAGGTCCATCTTGGGGGCGATGGGCCCTGGTTTGCCTCCCGGGCTGTACAGGGTGCCACGGCCAGGCCCCCCTTCACACTGCCTCCCGCCCCCCTCCCGCCCTCGGGTGGCATTTTAGGCTCTTCATGGAACTTGTCACTGATATGAGAACGTAGTCGTTAGTCTCGTATTAGCTTGATGTTTATCTTCATAACCAAGGGGGCCTCTCTGCTCCCCACTGGGCCCCGGGCCGGCCCTGCTTGGCTCAGCGTGCCTGACACCGAGCCTCTGGAGGAAATGCAGTGCCTTCAGCCAGACCCCTGCCCCTTCTCACCCGCTCACTCTACCTGTGCCCGACGGCCCCCGGGCAGTGCCGACCGCCTCTCTGCCCTTTCCGATGTCTGGGGGCGGGGGCAGGGGAAGTCAAGACCAAGCTGTTAGTGAGAAGAGGGGCTGCGGTCATTGATAAAACACAGTGACTTTTAAATCGTGGGTTTGCTTTAAAGAAACCCCCAAACGCGTGACCAGGGCAGGAAGCAGATGAGTCACGCCTCTCACCACATCATCCTGGGGGCTGGCATTTGATAACATCTGTACGCATGGTTCAGCCTGCCGCGCCCCTGTACCAGCTGCCGCCCGGGGGGCACAGGCCCGCACCCCTGGGCTGCAGGCACAGGGGGCAGTGGGTGTGGGCCCCGCCATGGCGTTGTGTGCGAGGCAGGGAAGATATTTTGGGGAAGAGGAGAAGACTGACAGCAGCTATTGCAAAGCTGGGAAACCCAGTTCACAGAATTTCCTCTCCCGTCGACGTGGGTCCATTTCCCCTCTCTCCCTGCGAAGAGGAAGTTCCGTTAGCTGACGAAAGTGCAGAATCACACAGCCCGCAGGCTGGAAAGGCCCGCAGGGGGGCACTGGGTTTAATAACACACGGGCCTCCTGCCGGGACTTCAGGCGCCTTCCCGAGAAGCCTGGCCCTCTCCCCTGGCCCTCTGCCCCCGCTCCGCGCTCCCCGCCTGCTGTGCTGGGTGCCCCCTCCTTCTGGAGAGGGAGCGGGGTGCAGCCAGAGCTCAGTGCGGACTCCCCGATCCTGCCGCTCTGCTCGCCCGACTCTGATGCCCCTTCTCTGACTTCATGGTCACCTCTGGGTCGATCTCCCCCAAACTGCCTCGGGCCTTTTCCTGGGGACAGTGACCAACTCCCACCCCCTGCCCCCAATCAGACAAGGAGCCTCCGGCAAAGCCATGCTCTCTGAAGGGAAGGGACAGCCCTCCCCTGAACTGGCCACCAGCTCCGAGCGCAGTGGGGAGCGGCAGCGGGAGAGGCAGCCGAGGGGTGCAGGGCAAGAGCAGTGACTGAGGCTCAGAGGGCTGCAGCCCTGCTCTGCCCCGCTGCTGAGGGGAGAGGCGATCCAGGCTGTGGCTTTTCTCAGAAGGCGCTGCTTTCAGAAGGTATGCAGCTCACTTCCGTACTGAGAAGCACCTGGGTGAACCCCAGGCCCCCAAGTCCAGGGCAGGGCCTCCGGGAGGCCTGGCTGGCTGCCTTCTAGAGGGAGGAATGCCCGTCTCTGTCCCCAGCTGTCAGGATTTGCACACAGAACGCGATCCTGCTTCTCCTCAGGACCTGCACGCTTCCATTTGCATGCATTTTTGTGATCTCTTTCATTCTCATCTTTCCCAAGAAAAACTGTCCATCTCCCGCTCAGCTTTACACTGACAGCCCTAGCCCATTTTGCTCAGTGGTTAGTGTCAGCCCACACTAACCACTAACCAGAATCGAAGGATCCCAGGTTCGATTCTGATTACAAGCTGGATCCCCAACCATGGACGGGGTGCATTCAATTGACGTCTCTCTCACGCCGATGCTCTCCCCGCCACTCCCCCTCTAAAATCAGTGGGAAAATGTCTTCGGGTGAGGATTAACCACAACAAGAAGCCAAAGCCGTGATTCTGTGTGTGCCGGGCGGTGTGCGGCTCTGCAGGGCAGTCTGGTTTACACTGTGCGCTTCCCAGCGAGCCGTCCCTCCAGCTTACAGTGAGGGGACCGAACGCAGCTAGAAGGACCGGTCACTTGCCCCGGGCCACAGACAGTGTTAGCCAGGCCTCTGTGCTGGTCCGGCCCTCATCCTCAGGGCAACGTCACACTCTGCCCCTCCGCGATCAGCAGCCAGCCCGGCACCGGCGGCTGTGCCGCCAGAAACCCTGCCGTGGCGCAGGGCGGAGCACCGGCTGTGAACCTGAGCCAGGAGGTCCCTGCTTCAGTGGGCTTGGTCCCCAGGAGGGGGTGTGCAGTAGGCAGCCGATTGTTTTTTCTCTCTCCTCGTCAGTTTCTATCTCTCTGCCCTCTCCCTTCCTCTCTCTTTAAAGATCAATAAAAAACATATTTTTTTTTAAAAGAAATCCGACTAGCATCCTATGTGTCTTGTCCTGACAATTTATTGGAATAAAAACGACATCACTCATTCGCACGGCTGTGTGCTCAAGGCCCGCACAGCTTCCCCGCAGAGCTGCCCGCCGCAGGCCAGGCCCAGCCAGGCCCAGCCAGGCCCTGCTTCCTGGTTTTACAGGTGGACGATGGAGACCTGACCATCCCAAGGTCACACAGCGAGAAGCAGGGAGCGGCAGAACTTCCAGGCTCTTGGAGTACCCAGAATTCTTTACTGCACAAAGCTCTTCTCCAATAAATAAGACAACGGAGTAAGTAACTGCGCCCGGAACCCCGAGGAGTCCCGCCTCAGGCCTGTCTCCGGGAGCTGTTCCCAGGCCGGCCCAGCACTGCTGGGCAGAGCGCAGGGTTCGGGGCCAGAACGGCCATTCCCAGCTGCCCCTGGAGTGCAGGCCGCGATGACAGGGCCGGCCCACCCGCCACCCGCCTGTTCTCTGCCCGCGGACTGTCAGCGGCTGCGAACTCATCCTCCAGACTCAGTGGGAGCGGGCGCACACCTGCCCCGCCGGGCCCAGTGCCGTGCTCTGGCAGGAAGCCTGGGCGGCCGCTCCGGTCCTCTCCGTGCGGGGAAGAGCTGGCTCTGTGCAGACACAGACACCGAGGCCTGACCACAGAGGCAGGCTTGATGACAGCGAGCCGCTCTGCCCCCACGCCCCGAAGGGCCTGTGTGCTGAGCCCATTTCACAGACGAGCAGACCGAGCAGGGAGCCGGGCGTGCAGCTGAGCATGGAGGGCAGGGAGCGTGGCCTCTGGGTCTGCAGTGCCAACCTCAGCCTCCGGGGCAGACCAGCTGGTGCCCACACCCAGCGGCTGCCTGCAGGGCTGAGATGTGACCAACGCACATCTCCGAGGCTCAGTGCTGCCGTCAGGTGTGGCCCGCATGGAGGGCGTGGCACGGAGGGACCCCGCGCTGCCGCTCTCCTTGCTGGGAAGTGGTCAGGATACACCCGGAGGATGGCTCGGAGCCACAGGCCCCTTTCGGGGCTCAGTTCCTTTCACCCCCCACCGCTCCGTCCCGAGAGCTGACTGACCGGCTGGCCTGGGAGGCCTGTGGGGCGGGCGCTCCTCCCCGGGACCTTCCCAGGAAGGTGGTGACCAGCTGGCCCTCAGCCTCACGTGGTCACTGCTCTCTCCTTCCCCCTAGATGTGAACCTGCTGTGAGGCCTTGACACAGGCTGGCTGGGAGCTGACTTCAGCCCGGCGGCCTCACCCCAACTCCAGGAAACCCCGATTCCCTGAGCACACGGCCCTAGTCACAGAGGCAGAGTCCCAGGAGGACGGAGGCTCTGCCAGAGCCTGCAGGGCCTGCACGGTAGAGAGCAGCGCCCACACTGGCCTCATGCCCACCTCTGACCCGGGCCTCCTCAGACCGCCAGGGCGTGGCTGGAAGCAAAGGCAGCCCTTCTCCGGAGTCACTCGCTGGCCTGCAGACTGGAAATCAGGGGCAGCGTGACCAGGTCTGCGTCGAAGCTGCCCAGGAGGCCGCCTGGGGCCGCCACGCAGCCCAGAGGGGCAGGGTCCCGGGCAAAGCTCCACTCAGCTGTCCCCAAGTCCCCACAGCTGGTCACGCCCAGGAGTGACCATTCCTCAGCTGCAGGGTTCCACTGTCCAGCCAGGGCCCCCGAGGGAGCGAGAGTCGCTTCTGGGGGGTCCTGTTTCAAGTAGCCCTTGTCCACGGCTGGTGGGGGCCAGGCTTCCTGGGCATCCAGGCACATCCTGAGTTGGGGGACAGAGGCATCAGCGGAGGAGGCCTCCTCTTCCAGGCAGCCCACCGTGACTGCCTGCTCCTCCGTGCCTCTGGTCTGCTTCAGGTAGCCCTGAAATTCCACTGCAGTCGGGTCTTCCCCTTCCGTTGCCTCGGGCTCCAGGGGACCGACGTGACCCCCGCCTGAGCCACACAGTCCGCCCTCAGTCCGGCCCTCAGAGTGGTGGGCGAGGCCGATGCCGCTGTCCTCCTGGCCCCCCGCCTGCTGCACCCAGCGGGGCTCCATGCCGGGACTCAGGCGGGGCTCCTGCAGGCAGATGCCGCTGTCGGTGCTGGCACTGCTGCAGCTGCTCTTGGGGTCCGGGGGGTCTCCCTTTCCCAGGGTGCCCCTGGCCTGGGGGAGGGCGTCCGGGAGGAGGAACTGGGGCTCCTCGGTCTGCAAGGACGGCTTGGCACTGCCGAAGCCGCTGTCGGTGCTGCCATGCAGCTCGGAGTTCCTCAGCTCCGGGGACACCTTGGCGAAGGCCTGCTCGTCGATGGTGTGGAGGGTGTCTCGGGTCTCTGGGCGGGGGAGCTGGCCGACGGGGCTGAAGGGATGGGGCCTCCCGAAGACCTGGAGACGGGAGGGCCGAGGGGTGAGCAGAGGGTCCCCCGCAGGCACCCACCACAGCGTCCCCAGGGAGGTCGTGGCCAGTCTCAGGGGGCACTGCTCCAGGAGGGGGACACAGACCTGGCGGACACCTCTCACTCCTTTGGATTAGTTCCAGACTGCTTTCCCCTAACGAAACGCTCAGGTCAGCTCAGGCCCGGACACGGAGAAGCCACCTTCCGGCCCAGACAGCAGGACGGGCGGGCGGGCGGGCGGGGGCTGCGTGTTCGTGGCCGTGCTTTCAGCCCCGAGAGCAGGCTGGCCACGGGGCGCTAACCGTGTGTCCAGGCCCTTTAGACTGTGACCCCAAATAAGCAATGTGCTCTGCCACGGTGTGCGTACAGCCCACAGACATCCACCTCACGCAGGAGGGGCCAAAACCAGCTTCACAAAACACTTGTGCTGCGCGGCCTGGGACCCGAGCTGTCCTAGCCTGTCCCGTCCCGGCCATTTGCTTATAAAACACGCACACACGGGCGGCCGCCGAGTGGGCAGAGGGACAAGCGCTGGCTGCCGAGGGCCCCAAGGGAAACGCTGAATGCTGACTCTTCTGCCCACGGGCCCCGCCCTCCGCTGGAGTCACCCATGGGTGCTCTCCTCTCTCTACCACCCGCCCTGCCCCCAGCTCTGGGCCCCCACAGGGAAAATGCTCTGACACCCGTCCAGCAGGCGACGCCACGCCTGGACCACGCATCTGCTCAGAGCCGGAGCGAGGATGCTGAGCCGCATCTGCCGGTTCGAGCGGCCCTCGAAGGCCTGGCCCCGGCTCCCTGTCCTACAGAGGTAACCCAGGGCCTGAGCTGAGAACATAGCTCTTTTCTGCTGGAAAAAGGCCCGAACGGAGCCAGGCATCCTCCCCCCACCTCCTCACCTCCCTGCTTCCAACCTCTTCCTCAGAACACTTTCCGAGGGTCTGTCTCCCTCCTCAATTTCCCCAGAGACCCTGGGCCCCCTGAAGGCCCTCTTGCAGCCCTGAGCTGAAGGTAGGTGAGGGAGGAGGGGGCAAGCTGAGCCCAGGCCACTGAGACAGGCCACAGGCCGCTGAGATGCAGCTGAGTGCTGGAGGCTGTGCTGCAGGCCGCTTACCGGAGGAAGAGGGCCGGGCCGGGGAGGTCAGCATCCGCATGGCCCCTCCCCTCCAGCACCCAACCCCCCACCCCTCTCCCCTCGGAGAGCAGCGCAGGCCGGGGGCACCCTGGGAAAGGGGGACACGCTGGACCCCGAGAGCAGCTCTGGTCCTCTCTCTCTCTCTCCTAGGCATGGGGAGGCTGGGCTCATCCTAGCCCGCCCGGCTGTGTGGCCCTGCGCCTGTAGCCGCCTCTCTCTGCCTCCGTTTCCTTACTTCTCCAAGGAGGACAATAAGGCACCTGCCTCCGAGGTGCTCATGCACGGCCGGTCTGTGGCCGATGGTGAGCTAAACAGGAACCACGGGGCGCGGGGGGTGGGACGCTCGGGATGGCACCCGGGGGCTGCAGGAGGCGTAGCTCTCAGCACCGGGCGCCGCGGTCAGTCCTCCCTCCGCCCCCGGGAGCCCGGGGTGCCTCCTGAGAGCGTTGGGCTGAGGGGAGGACGGGCTGAGACTGGGCGCCGGCTCCCCAGGCCCGCGGGGCTGCGGGCGGGCAGCAGCCTCTCTGACTCACCAGGACGGCGGGCAGCTTCCGCGGGCGGTGCAGGTACAGGCGGAGGGCCAGGGTCCCGCAGAGCAGCAGCACCAGGGCGAAGGAGACGCTGAGGTTGGTCACCGTGAAGTCTGCGGCCCAGAGACAGAGAGAAGCGTCGTGGCCGGGCCCGGGGGACGCGGAGGGCCAGTCCTCGGGGCCCCATGGCCGCTCTCGGGAGCTACCCCACCACCCAGGCTACCCCTGCCCCCACTCTGGCCTGAGAATGTCTCACCGCCCTCCGTGCTCACAGTCAGCACACAGGGCACAGTGGGCACAGCAGGCAAGCACAGAGGGATGGCAGCCGGCCTGGGTTCAAGTCCCCGCCCCCATTGTCTAGCCGGGAGCCTCGAGCCCGTTTCCTCATCTATGCAGTGGGAAATGCGGGCTGGCTCACACCTGGCTAAGTCCACGGCCTGCGCCTGCGCCTGCTATCTGAGCCCGAGGACGCGCTGGGGAGGGAAAGGCGATCCTCATCCCTGTCTCACAGATTAGAACCGGAGGCCCAGAGAGGGTAAGGGACTGCCCAGGCCACGTGCCTCCCAGAGAAGCAGCAGGATCGCACCTCCTGGAGGTGCGTCAGCGAGTGGATGGGGAAGACACTCGAGGCCTGGCCCACAGACGGCGTCTCGCTGCCGACAGAGGAGGGCTTGATGGCAGCGAGCTGCCCTGTCCTTCACCCCCGAAGGGCCCCGTGAAGCTGTGAGGACTCACTGGCTGCTTCCCGGACCCTGCCCACCTGACCAGGCACCCCCAGAGCCAGAGTGCCGGCGTGACTCATCGGCAGCTGGCCGTGCCGCCCCGAGGTGCTGCTTACAGCTCCCTCTGGGCCCAGCCTGTCCCAGCCGCTGACAGGAGCCTGGTCTTCACCAACCCTCCCCTGCCAGTGCCTGGCCAGAGCCTGGCATCTTTTTTTTTTTTTTTTTTTTTTAATATATTTTATTGATTTTTTACAGAGAGGAAGGGAGAGGGATAGAGAGCTAGAAACGTCGATGAGAGAGAAACATCAACCAGCTGCCTCTTGCACATCCCCTACCGGGGATGTGCCCGCAACCAAGGTACATGCCCTTGACCGGAATCGAACCTGGGACCTTTCAGTCCGCAGACCGACGCTCTACCACTGAGCCAAACCGGTTTCGGCCAGAGCCTGGCATCTTATTCATTGACTTAAGCAGCTGTGGCCAGGGGCCTGTCTGCTCTGAGGCTGGGAGGTGAGGAGGAGGCCCTTCTCGCTGTCAGCGAGATCAGGAGGGACTCATAGGGACTGCCCAGCCGGCCGGCCAAGGGGCCTGGTCCTGCCTCCGCGCCCGGGACGCCGTTCACACCACTAGCCTGGCTTCTTCACCCTCCCGGGACGGTGGGAGAGGTCACCCTGGGCCTGGCTCACAGCCCGGTGAGGACGGAGAAGGACATGGGCAGGCGGCATCCACAGCTCCCCGGATGGTGGACGCCCAGGCCCTGCTGCCCCCGCCCATCGGGCCGCTGCCCTGGCCACTCACACTGCTTGGCGGCGAGCAGGAAGCACACCTCCTCCGACCAGACTCCCTTGTTCGTGCGGGAGATCACAGCCGGCTTCACCCGGACACAGAACTCCCCAAACTCGCCGGGGATCGGGAAGCTGAAGTTCTCATGATTCACCTTCTTGTTTGTGAACTGAAACGAGAGCAACAACAATAAACAAACAGCTGGTCTCCCGAGGCCGCCCGGACACTGAAAGCTGCGCCCCCCAACCCCCTGGCTCTGAAGCGGCCCTCCCCCTCCCCCTGAGAGCTGGAACCCGGGCGCTGAGAGCCAGAACCCGGGCCCTGAGAGCCGGAAACGATGTTACAAAATGTCCCATGTGGTGAGGTGCTCTCAGCTCCCTGCTCCGCCCCAGGACCTCCCTCTGCTGGCGCCAGGGGGCGAGGGGTTTGGAGCAGGGGCAGGGGCAGGGGCGCACCCCACGACCTTAGGAGCCCCGTACCTCATGGCGTGCGGGCACCTTGCGAATGGAGACCTCGTACTCTCGGAATTGGAAGATGCGCTCGTAGGTGTGGCCGGCAGGGGCCACCTTGGGCCTGGGCAGCTGGATCTTTCCCAGGACGAAGCCATCCTGTATCTCCAGCTCCACGCTGCCCACCGTCAGGCTCACTGAGCGGGAGGCACAGCCGTGAGGCCGGGGGCCGAGGAGGGCCTGCCCCGCCTCGTGCCTGTCCTCCCGGGCCAAGCTTTACCCATAAAACCTGGGCCACAGCCTTCCAGCCAGGCGGGCACTGGGCTCGCTGGGGAGCGCTGCAATGACAGGTGCCCTGGGCCCGCCCAAGGCCCATCGACACTGGGAGCTGGGCCAGGAGACACGGTGGTAAGCACACCCAGGAGTTCGCAGCCGGCGGCACCGGGGGCCCATGACCCTGACACCCGAGACCAGTGGTGGGCAAACCGCGGCTTGTGAGCTGCATGCGGCTCTTTGGTCCCTGGAGTTTTTAGCAAAGGCCAGCTTAGGAGTACCCTAATTGGGCTAATAGCAATGTACCTACCTATGTAGTTTAAGTTTAAAAAATTTGGCTCTCAGAGGAAATTTCAATCGTCCTGTTGATATCTGGCTCTGGTGACTAATGAGTTTGCCGACCTCTGGTCTAGACCACTGTCTGGCCCTGGGCTCTGCAGGGCAGGCTTGTCGCCAGCACAGCCCTCGCATCCCCACCGCGGGGGCCGCTCCCCACTGAGTGGGCTTATTCTTCCTCCCACTCCTGCAAAGAGTCTCCCGCCTTTTCCTCAGGGGCACCCACCCCTCCCCTCAGAGCCTCCCACGCTGTCCTTGGGGAGGGGCGGGCTGGCCCCGTCCTGCCTGCTGCCTGCTTCCCTGCGCTCAGCGCTCACAGAACTCGCTAAGCACACAGGCCTGGCCCCACGGACCGGCCCCGAGACTTCCCTCTGTGGGTAAACAATCCAGTTCCCTTTCCATCGCCAACAACTTGACCGTTTTCATCTAACCCTTCTCCAAAGCCCTGACTCAGCCTTGTCTTGCCTCGTCCGGAAGCTGAGCTGCCATGGTGGCTACGGGACACAGAACAGTCTAGACTAGACTGAGCCCGGCTGCTCGGGGCGCCCACAGCCAAGCCCAGGCCCCGGGACGCACCGTCTTCCATGGAGAAGCGGGTCTGGGTGACGGTCCAGTCGGAGCGCCGGCCTCCATCCACGGCCTGGACTCTGGCATTGTATTCTTTGAGGTCGTACAGGTCCAGGGTGGCCATGGTGAGGTCGCAGGACAGCACCGGGGTCTGGCTGCAGCTGGACACGGGCCTCCAGAGCCCCGTTCCATACCTGGGGACAGCGGGGCAGGCCCTGGCTCCCATTCTGTTCACACCTGTCTTCTTTAAGAGGGAAACAGGAGGCGGAGCGGCCGGGATGGAGCCCTGGGTGCGCCCTGGCGCAGGGCATCTCACTGCAGGGTCTGTGCGGGCCTGGGACCCCGAGCCAGCTATGTCTAAAGGTCCCAGACTGAACTCTGCCCGGCTCAGGGCCAGCTCCACAGGAGGATGCTGAGCCCGCAACACGGCCCAGGGCCTCCGCCAGCCACGCGCACGGCTGCGCGCACAGTCCTCGGGCTCCTTGACTCTTAGCTCTTTGTGAGCGCTGTTCCTCCTCCTCAATGAGACAGACAAGTCCTGAGGACAGACACTACTGTGGCTCCCCCCACCCCCAGGGTCCCCAGAACACTGCTCCGTGCAGGTGGTGCAGCCAGCCCCCACCGTCAGCCCCGCCCGAGGGTGGGTATGTGCTAGGGCCCTTCCTGCTGTCCCTTCAGTGGCAAGGCGCCCATCTTTCTGTGCGGGGTGCTAGACGGGATGGCTGCACCCGCTCCCTCCTCCACCTCTCTAACCACCCCCGCCCAGCCCCGCCTCCCGCCCTGTACCTCCGCAGCTCCACTTCATAGCGCGTGCTTTCCGACACATTCTGGATGGGCGCCCAGTGGAGGACGTGGTGAAAAAACTCTGCTTCGAACCACACGGACGGAGGGCTGGGCAGCACTGTCCCTGGGGAGGAGGGTCGGTTTCAGGGCGGGCAGGGCCCCGGATGAAGATGCTGAGGGGGAGGTAGGGAGCCTTCTAGCAGCTCCCCTGTGGAGTGCCTCATTGGGAGCCAAGCACTCTACACACAGTCTATTTCACCGTCACTGCAGCCCACAGGCAGGCGCTTACCACCCACGTGTCCCGGGGAGATGGAGGCTCAGAGGGTAAGTGACCTGCCCAAGGCGACAGGAGCAGGGCCTGAGTGCAGGGCCAGGCCCTCAGACCAGCGTCCTGTGCAGGCCGCCTCAGAAGCAGAAGTGGTGGCTGAGAGGAGCCGGGCTGGTGCAGTGCACCCTGGGAGGAGGAGGGCTGAGGCTACGGTATGTCCACAGTGAGATGGGGTGAGCTAGCCCTTGGCTCTGCCCTCCCCCTGCCCCTGCTCCAGCCCCGGCTCCGGCCCCAGGCCTTCCCCTGGCGCTCTTTGGGCACAGATACCCCCTTCTCCCACAGGTCTGCCGGGCAGCCCCGGGCTGAGGGTGTGCCCATGCCCCAGCTCCTATCACCAGATGCCAGCCTCCGGTCGGGTGGGAAGACAGAGTTCTTCCCACAAAGAGCTGACACCCTGGCTCTGAGACACCACAGGCCAGTCCAGCTTCCTCTCCTGCCTCCCCTCCCCCTCCCCCGCCCGGGAGAGGCCAGTGTGACTCGGGCAAGTTATCAGACCTCCCTGAACCCGGTCCCTCATTCGTCAGAGGGCCCCTCGGCTCTGACCACCATCTCTCTAATGATGCTCCCTGCTTCTAACTGCCGTGCTTGCTGAGGCGTCTACCTGTCCCTGGCTTGCTTTCTCATATTGTCTTTGATCTTCGAGTCTGTGTCTCGATTTCAAAGCGCGAGGTGGAAAGTGAGAGGCGCAGCAGGTCTGAGCTCCCGGTCATGTGAGCCGCGGTGTGCTCTGCTGCCTGTTCTTGGTCCCTCACCTCCCAGCCTGTCCTCTCCCTCCAGTCACTCTCCTGCCGCACAGACTGCGGGACAGCCTGAGCTCAGGGGGAGGAGGGGAGGCGGGGGCAGCGGGGGTGCGTCAGGGGCTAAAGAAGGAGCAGGGCGACCAGAGGGGGTGGCAGGTGTCCCGGAGGGAAAGGCTGGACAGGCTAACTGGAGGGGAGGAAGGCAGGCGATGGGGTAATTTCCCGGGACAGGGTCCAGGCCTTTGAACTAGACCAACTAGAAAGCCAGGAGCGCTGGTGGTGCAGGTGGGTGGGCCGTGCCTTGAGGAAGAGGGTCTTTCAACCCTCCCCCCGCCTCCCCGCCCCCCCCCCCTCCCTCCCTGTAATCTCAGCTTCTTCCCTGCCCGAGGGGTGAGCCCCAGGCCAGGCTCCCCAGGATGAGATCCCCCGAGGGGCCCGATGGCGGACGCCCTCTCCAGAGGCACCGGAGCTCCCCGGGGACAGAGCTTCCACCAGGGTGGGGCGGTGGGGCGGTGGGGCGGTTTGGCCCCGCAGCGCAGCGGCGCGGCCGGGCGGGCAGGCCGGCTTACCTGGCGCCCCGCAGCCCAGGCAGAGCAGCGCGGCCAGCGGCAGGACCAGGCGCGGCGGGACCGGGCGCGGCGGCGGCATCCTGCGTCCCGCATCCCGGAGAGCCAAGCCGCCCGCGCCCTCGGGCTCCGCGGAGACTGAGCGGAGCGCCCCGGGCCCGCCTCCGCCTCCCCCCCCCGCCCCCCGCTGACGTCAGGGGGGCGGAGGATGCAGCTGCAGGGCGGGGGCGGGCGGCCTGTGGGGGCTGGCGGGCGGGAGGGGGAGAGAGAAAGAGAGAGAGAGAGAGAGAGAGAGAGAGAGAGAGAGAGAGAGAGAGAGAGAGAGAGAGAGAGAGAGAGAGAGAGAGAGAGAGAGAGAGAGGTGGGGTGCACCTGGTGTGGAGGGCAGGAGGGAGCTGTGGTTGAGCTGAAGGCAGGATGGGATGCTGTGGGATGGGGTGGGCTGGGGCGGGGCGGGGGGCAGGGTGGTGCGGCTGCAGCGGCTGGCCTGGGCGAGGTGGTCCCTGTGAGGCTGGGTGCCGGGTGCCTGGGTGGCGCAGGTGGAGGAGGAGCCTCTACCTGGTCGGAGGCTCCCATCTCCTCTGGTTTCTCTCCCTGAACCTCACGTTGGGAGTTCTGTGTGTGTGGAGAGGCTGGGTGACAGCTGGGGAGGCAGACAGCACCAGCACTCAGCCCTGCGCCCTGACTCCCGAGGGGGGACGCTCCTGCAGAGGGGGAGGCCGGCTGCGGCTGAAGGTGGCTTTGGGGCTAAGACCTCCCTTTGGGGTAAAGGTCGGACCCAGCGGCATGGACAGGGGAGAGTAGAAGCAGGTCCCATAGGACGAGGTCGCTGGGGCCCCAGGGGCTGCCAGGCCCGCCCACAGGGCGAGGAAGGGCGCGGGTGAAGGTTGGGGGGTGCCCGCTGGTGCTCCGCTGAGAGATAGGAAGTGCTCCCAAGTGCCGGCCTGAGCAAGGGCGTGGCTGCTTTCAGAAATGACTTTTCGGTTCCCAGGAACCCTTTTTAAAAACATTTTTTTTATTGATCTCACAGAGGGAGGGAGAGGGAGAGAGAGAGAAACATCAGTGATGAGAGAGAATCATTGGTCGGCTGCCTCCTGCACGCCCCCCACTGAGTATCAGCCCACAACCCGGGACCTTCTGGTTCATAGGTCAACCCACAACCCCTCAACTGACCGGGCCCCAGTGACCTTTTGAAGGAACACACTGTTCTGTTTCTTTCTGAACTTGTCTTTTCTGGTGGGTTCTATTGTTGCGCTGTAAGAATGTAAAAGCCTTACCCCATTATCTTTTTGAAAAAGGTTTGCCCACATTCATTCTTCTTTCATTCACGGCAAACATCAGGGCCGCTCATGATGAGCTACCCCTGCTGCTGGCCTGGGGTGAAACGATCAAAACAAGGGCCCTGCCCCCCGAGACCCACACTCTAGCGAGACCTCCCCGTGGTGCTGAGTGCTCTGGGGAGGGGAGTAGAGGTACTGTGGGCCCAGGGACAAGCACTCGGCCACGGTGGGTGGAGGACGGAGAAGGCTCCGAAGGAGGTGACCTCTGTGCTGAGCCCTGAGGGGAGAGGGGAACTGGGAAAAGAGCAGGTGGAGAGGGTGTTGGACAGCAGGAAGTGGAGACTTGGAGCGGAGGGAAGGGCGTTTCTAAAGAACTCGGGAGGGTGGGGAGGTCAGCATGGCTGTGTTAGGCCGAGACCACCCTGGCTGACATGGGTTAACCTTTGCTGTCACACACAGCGCCATATCTTGTTTTGCCGATTCCATTTGGCTTGTGCCAGCTATTCATTGCCAGTGAAAAGTCTGAAAAGTCTACCCTGTGGCTCTGGGACATCTGGTGTATTCGGAATATTCATACCAGTATGGGGACAGATCATAGAAAATGATTATAATAGTATCTTTTCTTTACTGAGCTCTTACTGTGTATCAAATAGGACCCTAAACACTAAGTTGTGCAGCAGAGGCTAGAGGCTTAGCAACTTCACTTCCTCTTCCTGGGTACACAGGGCACCGTGTTTCCTAGCTCCTCCTGCAATCACACTGAATAAGTGACTGGGTTTTAACCAACGGGAAGTGAAATTAAGGGGTACCACTTCCTGGCCTGGTCTCTGTCTTTGCTATTCTGTCCTCCAGGTGGAAGGGGCCCAGGAGAGAACCCAAACGAGCAGAACTTGGATCCCCGAATCGCCTCTTGGAGGGGAGCATGCAGGAAAGACACCCAAGCTATGTCAGCCTGTGACCTGAGTGAGGAGTGAACTTTTGCATGTAGATTCTGTACTTGTTACAGCAGCTAGTGTTAACTGCCCTGACTAATGCACCAGTATCGTCTCACTTAATCCTTATGACCACCCCGAAAGCTTGGCATCATCATCAGGGTTTACAGATGGAAAGTCAGAGATTATGTCAGCGGTCTGTGTCAGTCACTCAGCTAGTGAGGGGCGGAGCTAAGACAACAGTCCAGGTCTGTCTGACTCCAGAGCTCACGCTTTTACCACCATATTATCAATGCCCTTCCCAATCTTGGAAGAATTCTTGGAAAAGGCAAGTGTCTAGCGAGCTGACAGAGAGAAAGAAAGTGAGGGCCAGGGGAGGAGAAAGAGCTCCGGGCTGTAAAGGGGACGTGGTGAGCCCAGGGGACCTGTGGGCAGACCTGGGGAGACGGACATCTTGCCCCCATGGCCACAGGGAAATTTTTAGGGCACATTTTGAGGTTGAGGTGGTTCCATTGTCTCCTTTTCACTTACTTCATCTCGGTCCTCAGGATGCTGCTCCTAAGCAGGCCTCCCTGGGGGCGGGGCAGCAGGGGAGGAAGGCTGCTAGGATGTGAGCAGGGGCCTGCTTGCAGTTTCTATCCCTGTCCTGTGATTAGGGCCTTCCAGGCCACGTGACCCCTGTGTCAGAGCTGCAGGCGCAGGGAGCGCTCCGGGAGGGGACAGAGAGGAGGAAGTCACTGGGGCCGGAGAATCACAGGTGTAAGAGGAAGGGGTCACACGGCCAGCCCCAGCCCAGGGGCTGCTCCACCTCTCTCCTCAGCCTGCCTGACCCTCCCTCCACCCTCACCTGCATATAAAGCGCTCAGAAGGACAGAATCCCTCCTGGATGCCCCTCCAGGCCGTGCCGATGGTGACTCGGCTTGAGCAGGGAGGTGTTGGGTGTGACTGGGTGGAGGCAGCAGTCCTGAGACGCAGACATTGCTTGGAGCCCCTTGGACCACAGAGCTTGGCGTCAGGAGTGTGGTGCTCTGTGCTCGCCCGCCTCCCGAGGAGCAAGAGCGCAGGCTGGGACGACCCGCGACGGGCTTCAAGCTCAGGTGCCAGTTGTCATCTGTCACACATTCCCCGGAGCCCAGGGTTCTTACTGCGAAACGGGAGGGCGCCTTCCTTCCCACCTGTGGGGCTGCTGAGAGGTCAGCCACCATTGGCTGTTCCGTGCCCAGGCGCCGGCGACACAGAGCCACTCAGACCCTGGCCTTGGGGGTGCCTGCATTTCCGGACTCAGACCTACAGTGACTCTCTGCTCTGACGTCAGAAGGACCAGCTTCGATGTAAAGTGTTTGGTGAAGTCTAAGGTGTGATGCCCGCGCAGGGCGAGCCCTAGTGCGATGGCTTTTCTTTCTCTTTTCCGGATCGGTCTCCTGCTCACTCCCAGGCCAAGCGTGCGGTGACACTCAGCTCTAAGCCGCTCCTCCGTGTCGCTCGTGGCTCTCGGGCCCTGAGGCCCCCTTGCATCGGACTCCTGGCCCGGAGGCCGGCCTCGGTCCCCTGCTTCTGTTTCTGCCCTTGGCCAAGAGCACACTGGGCCACGGCACTCTCCCTTTTCCTGGAATCAGTGGCAGTTGGAGAAGTGGTGACGGGCACGGGGATGTGGCGTGTACCCAGCGGCCGGGCGCGGGGAGGGGCGTGGAAGAGGGAAGCACTGCAGTTCCCCGGGGGAGTGGAAGTTCTTACAATTTATAGGAAAATGAAAGTCAGAGGGGAAGAGCTGCTCAGGTCGCGGCGGTTCACACCTCACCCTCAGCTGCTGTGGCCGCCTGCCCTTTCGGAGCAGGAGTCCCAGCTGCTTCCCAGCGCTGCCGCACAGTGCGAGGGCCGCAGGGAGGGCCCGCTGGGCTCCGGCAGCCAGGGGCCTCCTTTCTGCCTCCCACCCCCTGTCCCCGGCCCGCTTCTCGGGACACCAGGGCCAACTAGGAAGCCCTCGGGACCCTGATGAGGAAAGTGGGCATTTCTTGCAGCTTTTCCTTGTCTGAGTGAGGTTCTTTTTATTCCTCTTGAAACATTTTTAAAATTTTAAAAATATTTTTATTGATTCCAGAGAAGAAGGGAGAGGGAGAGAGAGAGAGAAGTAACGATGAGAGAGAATCATTTATCAGCTGCCTCCTGCACACCCCACCCTGGAGATGGAGCCCGCAACCTGGGCCTGTGCCCTGACTGGGAATCGAACCCTGGCCTCTCGGTTCATAGGTCGATGCTAAACCCCTGAGCCACGCTGGTCAGGCAGAAACTTTGATTTGGTAAATAAATTTTTAATACAGAAATTCTTGGATTAAGTCATGTCCATAAATACATATAATTTCAGCCACATAATGTTATAAATTCCGGGAGTTTTGCGCCTAATTTCAGAAAGCTAGAGGAAGCAAGTGCTCGGGGCCACAGGGTCCTGTGAGGGGTCATTGCCGCACCCACACACATACATTACCGGGGGGTGTCCATGTGAGTGACAGGCCCCATCGCTCCCAGGGACGCTCCTGTCCAACCTCGAAATGAGGCACTCAGCGCCTCTTCCTGGGACACTGCGTCCCAGAGATGGCTGCTCCAGCCTCCGTCCTGCTCCTTCTCCACTAATGTCCCTCCCGGGCTTGCTCCGCCTGCCTGCTGAAGTGCAAGCCAGGAGCCCAGCTCCTCCGGCCCCGCCTCGGTGACCAAGTCCAAGGCCACAGCTGCTCCGGGCCTTGTCCCTCCGGCTCAACAGCAGGGATTGCTCCCCTCACGGCACACCCGCATCAGCGCCGGCTCAGCTCCGGGCGCCCCTGGGAAAGGCTCCGCGCTGGCCTCGGGGTCCCCTCATCGGAAAGACGGGGATGTTC